CGCAGGTTGCCTTCCAGCTCCAGTTGCTTCTCCGTGCTCTGGGATAGGAGCCCGCTGGCAAAATCTGGATAATGGTGCTACAGGACCCCAGCTGCCTTCCCACCAGCTCTCGGTCCATGCAGCTCTGGTGGGAGAGCTTGGGATGATGGAGCACTCGCTTGGTCTACAAAGAAAGGCCCTCCCCACAGGTCTGCAGGCAAAAATTAGCCTAAAAGTAGAGTGGATGAGCCTCGTTCCAGAAACTGGAGGGTGAGGAGAGGGCTCCTGCGGGTGACATTAGTGTAGCAGTGTGACACAGCTTTTACCCCTTCCTCCCTGAGGATAAGTAGGTTCCTTTCTGGCTGCTTCTGGACTTGGCCATTCTGAGGCCTGCTCTGGTTGTTCTCAAGATACCAGCCCTAATGTGCAGAAGCAGCATGGTAGGCAGGGTAGCACCCTGCGCCTTCGTGATGGGAAAGGATATCTCACCTTTGGTTTTCCAATAGGCTCTCGCGACAGGAAAGCAACTGGGAGACTCTCTTCACCCAAGCAAGAACGACAGAGAGGCCAGAACCTGAAACCATCTCCTGCTCAGACAGACAGGTCAGTTGCTGCCAGTTCTCCTGGCTCATGGGCCAAAGCTATGGCTTGTTCTGGTGGGACCTCATCTCCCTAAACTAACAGCCCTATGGAGAAACAAGAACTCTGCCTGTGGTCTCCTCAGCCTCATCTAGGTGGAACTCACACAGAGAAAGCGAGGATTTCTGGTGTGTCTCTGGCACACCAGTGGTAAAGCACTTGTCTGCTCACACTTCCCCACTTGTCCCATAGTTCAGTTTCTCCTCCTGGGGAGGTTTTGAGCCTCTGCCCTTAGAGTTTCCAGTCTTCATGGAGACACAGAGGGGAAGGATATGAAGCTCCTTGGACAGGAGCTGCAGATGCCCAGGTGTCCAGCTCAGCCCAAGGGGAAGCCACCAGGTAGATTCCTGCAGCTCAGAGCAGCACCTGGGAGTTTTCTCGAGGTCAGTCCTAGCGAGAGGTGCCACCCGGGTTAGGTGCAGGCTTGGTCGTGCCAGTGCCTCTGCCTCCTGCTGGCACCTTGTAGTGCTGATGAGGAAGAAGCTACAAGCCCTTCATCCCTCCTGCCAAGCTGTTCTTGGCCTCTGTTTTGGTGCCTAATCCTACTTTATATGCTCTGGTATACGTTGAGCCACTCACTTTGCTGCTGAGAATTGTTAAAACGTGACCCCTGGATAAGATTAAGTGGTGACTATCCCTGGCTTTGAGCCTGTCTGTCCCTCCCATGACAGCTGACAACCTCACGTCCAGTTTCTTGGCAGCTTGTGCCTATTGTCAGCACTGGGAATGCCTCATGGCAGAACTGCACGTGTGGCTCCAGGGTCCTTGGCCTGGTTGACTAGAAGCCCGTGGAGGACCCTGCAGCCCGCTGGACGTGTCCTTGGTCCCGGGCGGACATGGCCACTGCATTTCTCCAGTTCCATCTCCCCCAGGATCTGCACGTGCCAACACGTGGAGCTGCGTCCTGCACCCCGTGTTCCTTGTGCAGCCTGGGGCACGAACGAGCCCTCCTGCTCCGTGTGTCAGCCCCAGATCAAGGCCTGGCCACAGCCCCAGCCTTCCCCAGGCCCTGAGGTGCTCGGGAGGAACCTCAGCCTTCCCAGCGCGGCGTTTCCACCCGCATCCCTGCTGCTCTTGCCCCTCTCCTGCCTCCTGTTTGGGTTGGCAGCGTCGCCGGCCCTCGCTCACACCCTTGGGTGGTTGAGGAAGCAGCCGGGCACTCCGGGGCTCTGCGTCCTGCTGTGACCCCGCCGGGGCTGCACTTGCTCCCGCCGCCTCTGGGTGCTTGGAGCCGGCGGAAAGAACTCGGCTGCTCCTTCCCCAATCCTCCTTCCCACCCTGCAGCCTCTCATCTCAACCCTGCTCTCTCCAATCGCACCTGGAACGATGCTCTCCACCCCAACAGCCCTTCCCCTGCTGCAGCTGTGCCAGCTCCGTGGTGCCGGTGACCGTCCCCCTCACCAGCCTGTCCCTTTCTGTCCCCAACAGGAAACGCCAGCTGTCCCCGCAGTCCAAGAGCTCCAGCAAAGTGACCAGCGTCCCCGGCAAGGCGGCCGAGGCGGGCGCCGCGGGCGCCATGGCGAGCAAGGCCAGCACGCTGTCGCGGCGCGAGGAGCTCCTCAAGCAGCTCAAGGCCGTGGAAGATGCCATTGCTCGCAAACGGGCCAAAATTCCCGGGAAAGTATAGTGCGTGGAGCGCCGCTCTGCCCCCGTTAGTGACTGTTCATGTTTTTATAAATAGTGGAAAAACAAACAAAACAAAAAAAAAAAAGCGGCCACTTTGGGATTTTGCAGTTCTGTCTTATTTTGGCTGCGATTCTTTTTAAAAAAAAATTACAAAAAAAAAATGGAAGTTTGTCAGCAGAGAACACACGACCGCACCGGCTCCCCGTGGCCGCCCCGGCCCAGGGCGAGCGGGTCGGCTCCTGGCACGGGGCCGCCACCGCCTTTTCCATGTAAATTATGCACAGAGGATCCCGCCCCGTCGGATGCTCCCCCTTCTCTTCCTCCCTCTGTCCCTACCCTCTCCTCTTTGCTAGCCTTGAGTTGTATTCTTCTAGTTAGCCCTGCTGTGTGTTGAGTGTCTTCAGCAATGCAGTTCAATATACTGTGTAACGAGAGAACCGAAAACTGCTGTGAACTACTGGCAACATCACCTTCTCTCCCCCCCTCCCCCAGGAACAAAACAAATATATATATATTCTTGACTCGAGTCTCATTGGGAAAATGACCTGTCTTTTATTTTAAGCATCAGATTGTTTTAGTTGATTTAAGAGGAACCCTGAAGGTTTTGTCGGGATGTCTGTCTAACAAGGAGGGTCCTTTTGTTTGTTTTTTTTGTTTGTTTGTTTTCCTTTTTTTTTTTTTTTCTCGCTCCTCTCCTTTTTTGAGGGATCTCCCTGAAATAAAGTATTTTGATAACCAGTTCTTCCCCTGTGCTCTCTTCCGTGCTGGGCCCCGCTCTGTCCCGGCGGCGCCGCGGGCTCGGTGACCGCCCCGGTGCAGCAACGCGTGCGCTTGGGGCTGCAGCGGCCGCTCCGGCTCTCCTGGCATTTGCAGCGGGGGCTTTGGAGCCTCTGGGATTGCAGCAGCGGGAAAAGTCACCCGTGGATGATCCCGTGTCTGTTCTGGAGCTCCCAAGCTGGAGCGTGGTGGGGCTGCATCCTTCCCGTGCAAGCGCTGGGGTGGGAATAGGGACCCAGCGCCTACTCCTTTTCCTCGCGCCGCGATGCAGCCTGTGCTGCCGAGCGGTGCATCCTTGTTCTGCAGGGAATGGGGTGCAGGGAAGGGGACGTGGCTGGCTGGAGCTGAGCCCCTGCAGCGCCCAGCAAGGAAAGGCCGGATGCTGGAACAGGGAAGATGCTCCTTCCTCTGCCCACGTTGCCCATCCGGCTGTGCCATCGCTGCTGCCACATCCTTTGTCCCCATCCCATGCCCTGTGCCAGTGGGCAATGCAGGGCGGCCGTTGTCCCTTGGCCCTTTCCGGGCTTGCCCAACCAGGGATTTCTTGGCCTTGCTGCAAGCTCCGAGCGCGGCTGCCCCGGGAATGTGACGGTGATATCACCGCCGGCCTTGCGCAACGGTGCCCGGGGCATCCCCACGCCGGGAGCCTCCGCTCGCCCGGAGCGCATTCCCTGGAAGCGCCCGGCGCGGGGGGCGCAGAGCGGGACACGGGGACCCCCTGTGCCCCCGTGTCCCCCGCGAGGGGCCGCGGCGCTGCCCCCATCCCGGCGGTT